AAGAAGGGGCAATTTGTTGGGGCAATGAAGGCCTTATGAGCAGGTCAAAAGAGGGTAATATGAATTATGATGAAACAATTATAGAATTTTTGACAAGGAAAATAACTTATCTGCAAAGCTTTGAAGAAATCATTGACTCTCCATTTTACAGATGAAAAAATCCAGATGCAGGGAGATACCTGACTAGCCTTCAGTCTCATACCATTAATGGGAGAGCCAGTCCAAAGACTAGCCAAAACGTACTGGTATGGGTGTGTTAAAATCTTGAAATGCCTTTCCCTTTTTAAAAATAGCTTTACTGGGGAGATGGGAGTTGGCTGGCTGGCTCAGTCCATAAAGCATGCGACTCTTGATCTTGGGGTCATGAGTTTGAGCCCCATGTTGGGCATAGAGATCACGTAAGAAATAAAAAAATAAAAATAAATAGCTTTTTGGGGTATAATTCATATACCATAAACTTCCCCCATAATAATTACTCAATAATTTTGAGTAAATTTATACAGTTGGGTAACCATCACCACAATCCAGTTTTAGAACATGTCTGTTCTAAAAAACACTGAAATACTTCAATAGTGTAAATAGTAAATAGTAAATAGCCACTTCCCTCAAATCCCCAAAAGAATCACCTTTCAATTCTCTGAATCACTCCAGACCTCCCTATGATCAAATTACATTATCTGGTCCACAGGGCAAGAAGCATCCTGGCCCTTGCCCCAACACTGAGCAGCTTCTGTTCTTCCTGGTCTACCTTTGCTACATTTGTGCCACATCTGTTGTTAAATAACATTAGTGTCGCCCCTGGAAAGATCAAGACAAGCATTTAACTCCTCTGGTTCCTAATCTGAGCTTTTCACATAGCACCCTGCTTTTCAGAAAGACAGGAAAATAAATAAGTGAATAAAAGAAAACAAGAGCTATGAAATTATGTCTACATAAAAGACAGGTTTTGAAAGGTCAAGAGATTGAGCTGGTATCTATAGTGATGGTTACCTCTTCAGTAAAGGTGTTCTTATCTTGAGATTTATACACTTCTGCTGATGGATGAACTTCTGAGGGTCAGGTACCTCCCTGAAACACAAAATTTCATGAATATGCACACTTTTCTGCAGAGTGAGTCCATGGACAAAAAGAATAACTTGCTTAGAACATGTTTGATAAGAGGTTTAGGGGAGAAGCAAACAAGGAAGGTGCTCAAGGAGTACAGACCTGGGGAAAATAATTTGTTAGAGGGATAGGCAAAGGGAAGAAAGTGAAGACAAAGTTCTCTTGATTCACAATTTTATTTACAAGCCAGATATGTATGTGAATCAACTATTTTTGACATGTAGAATAAGTCACACAGATTAGGTCACACATATAAACCCTTTGTTATTTTGCTAATTTTCTTTGTCCTTTATTAGGAGATTCACATGAAATGACTAGTTTGGGTTATGCTTTTCTTAAAGTACCACTCTAAATTGTGAATCTGGAGTTTTGCTACTTCATTAAATCCCATCTATAGCTCAACTGCATTACATTAGCATTTTAAAATTGTTAACTAAGACCCCCCAGTGTGTCTACATAAATTACAATGAAGTCAAGTTCATTCCTAGTATATCTATAAATGTGATTTTAAAATTCAAAATAGTACACCATTCCCGTTGCATTTTATCTTAGACTTTTTAAGATAGTATTTTGAACATATCATTTAAATTTTTGATGATCTCTACTAGGCACATGGAATTTGAAATCTGGAAGAAAACTTGAAGATTATGCAGTCTGATTTGCTCATTTTGTTGATAAAGAAATAAACCCAGAGAGATTAAGAGCCCTGACCAAGCTTATTAATGAAAGAGCTAGAACAAGACTACAAGCATTGGCTTCTTAGCTTGGTGCCTTTTCCAACATACAATTAACAAGCTAATGGTTACTGAACTGCCTACATTTCTCTGATGAGATCAGCCAGTAGGAGACTATGAACAAACCATCTGTGGAGACAAAGACTCAAGCAAAGACTCCTCAGCTCTGCCTCTTCACTCTCTGGCAAGAGGATTCTCATAGGATAGCTCCTAATTCTCCAGTCTAGTGAATCACTAGAACTCAAACATTCATAAATCACATTATATTATCAATATTGTGGCATTTGCCCAGTGATCACTTTGTGAGTTCTTCAAGTTACTAGACTCTGGTTTCCCATATTTCCTCCCCTTTTCTCCCAGAAAGTCTCGCTGCTTTTAGTCCTCTGTGTCATAGGCTCTACTTTTGCGTTGGTGGGGACCACCTCAGGCACATAAATAGCTTGTGTATGCCCTCTTTTTTTTTTTGTCCCCCACGGAGGTGGAGGAGGAGGGGGTAGTTTGTGAGATGAGGGAGAGTCATTTCCTTGAACATGATGGCCATTTGTCATTGATGTGGAAATCAAAAAATCATCAAATCTAACAAAAATAATAATTATCCCCTAATATCATCTAATATGCATTTTATATTTAAATTTCTTCAGTTGTCTCAAAAATATCTTCTTTACAGTTGGTTTGAATCAGGATCCAAACAAAGTTAACATGACTGCATTGGCTTAATATGTCTCTTAAGTGTATTTTATTGCAAATGGTGCTATTAAAAAGATTTTTTAAGGGTATGGGAAATTTTAATTTTACTATTGTTGAACTGTTTTCCAAAGTGATTGTCCAGTTTTGCTCCTATAGAGAGCTTCACCCCACTTTTGGTATTGTCAGACATTTTGCCTATTGCCTATGTGATAGTAAGCCCCACACTGTAAAGAAATATGTGAGCCTTGTCTTCAAACACTGTATAGTTAAAACACTTGACTTTTTAACAAGGTCCTTTTTAACACACATAAGCCCAAGGGACCAGATGTTGATTTTGCTGTGAGGAGTATTAAGAATTCTGTTAACTCTCTTTTCTTATCAGTATGACATAGCAGGTTGTTGGTTCTGATGATGTCATAATGCTTTGTTTGTGGGGTCATCTGATGTCACTTATACCTTAAGAAGAATCAACTTTTAAATAAAATGAACTTTAGATGGTAAAACCTGATCTTCTGGAGCAATTTTCAGAGATCATAGGCATAAAGATTTCTGGAAGAAAATATATGTGGAAAAGCTTTCCTCTTTCATTGGGATATATGGGTTTTACTCACAGACAACACAACTGAGCTGACACCAGATATGCTTCTGGATGATTCCTGGTTGCTAAGAGCATCCAAACATTCCTCAAGGACACCATCATTTTGCACAACAAAGGGAAAACCAGCCCATTTCTGGCAATAGGGTAGAATTCTAAGAAGAAAAAGCAAACCAATATAACTTCCTCTCTATAATAATAGTTGGTTTAATATTATACTATAGGATAACTGGTGTATTTTAAAGATCTTTCCTTTTTGAACACATTTTACATTAGGGAATTTCCCAGAGAACATAATGATCTTTTTTTTTTTTAAGATTTTATTTATTTATTTGAGAGAGAGCCAGCATGAGCAGGGGAGAGGCAGAGGGAGAGAGAAAGGGAGAAGCAGACTCTCCACTGAGCAGGGAGCCCCATGTGGAGCTCAATCCCAGGCCCCTGGATCATGACCCGAACTGAAGTCAGGCACTTAACTGACTGAGCCACCCAGGGGCCCCCATAATGAGCTACCTTTGAGTGGGAAGGATGACATCCTACATTGCTCTTATGTTTAAATCTTACAGAAATTTCTAAAAAGGGCTCCAAGTTAATAAAATGACAGATTTTAAGCTTTTGTTCTGCTAAAGTAAAAGCCTTCTACTCAATGTATCAGCCTTTTAAATCTTTAAAAGATAGAACAAGAACACAAGGGGGTGCCTGGGTGGCTCAGTTGGTTAAGCGACTGCCTTTGGCACAGGTCATGATCCTGGAGTCCCAGGATCCAGTCCCTCATTGGGCTCCCCGCTGAGCAGGGAGTCTGCTTCTCCCTCTGACCCTCCCCCCTTTCATGCTCCCTCTATCTCATTCTCTCTCTCAAATAAATAAATAAAATCTTAAAAAAAAAAAAGAACAAGAACACGAGGTAAGTCTTTGGCTTCCATTTACCTCTTAACCAATGATATCTTCAGTTTTGGGATAGCTTTTTAAAATGTGGCTTCTGATAAATGTTGGCAGAACTGGTGCATTCCCAGAATAAATTCTGAATGCTCAGCTTTCCCTATTCAAATACTTCCCTAGGTCGAACGACCACAAAACTGCCCACTATGAAACAGGCTGAAGAGAAGTCCAGATGTGATAGGTGTTAAGTGTATACTACACGGTGCACTGTTACATTAAAAAAAAAAAAAAATCACTTCTAGGGTCAAATCATCTCTAAACAAATGTGAATGCCATAACAACCATAACTATTACTGACACACGTGAAGTTTAAAACTGACGGGTTGCGGTAAAGGGGAGACAACAGTATACGAACGAAAGAAAAACTTCAAACATTTCTCTTCCCTTTCAGATAAGTTTCAGCTCTACAAATCTACCCTTGCCTTTAGAATATCAATGTATTGTTTTGCTCTCAATCCTCATCTCATTGTACAAAGAAATCTGTGTCTTTCTGTCCCAAATTAGGAATATGAGAAGCCTTCCAGACCGTAAAGACCAGAAAGCAGCCCCACGGAAAGTGGTATCCCGCCCGGAGGGTGTGAAAGTGGGCATGGTGGTGTGGAGAAGACATCCGAAAGGGAAAAAAAATCTTCAAACCATACACCTGTGGTTGGAAAAACAAAACAAAAAGAAAAACCCACGGGACTGGAGATCATCAAGATCTTAGGGTATACAGAGAAAAAAACGACAACCGTGGCCAGGTCAGACCAGGAGCGGCGTTTCTTAGGCGACCAGAGTAGCTGGGTGAGGTAGCCGCGGACGCCGGAGAATTGGATGTGTCTGAGGGTACCAACAACGCCATTTACCGCGCTCCCGCCCGCCCCTCCCCCCACGAAGGCCCAGCGCGCCAGCCAATCCCCTCCCGCCGTCCCCTTCCCACCGGAGGCCCCGCCCCCGGCGCCCAGGATGCTGGGCCCCCGCGGCGTGACGCGAGCACGGCAGCTCCGCCCCCTGCGTCTCTGGCCTCGCCGGCCTTGGGGGGATGGTTCCATCATGGCGTCAATGCAGGTGAGAGGAGTTTGCAGCATCTGGGCGGGCGAGTGAGCCGCCGAGAGGACGCAAGCGTTTTGTCGGGGGCGGCGTGTGGGACTCTGGGGCACCCGGACGGGCTCGGGAGCGGCCCTGGTGGCCAGTCCTTTCCCAGCTTCAGGACGTTGGGGAGGGGTGAGAGGTGGCGAGAAGAAGGGCGGGGGAGGGGGGTCCTCGGTCGGTCGAAGCGGACACCAGCCGGCCGGGAAGTTGGGGGATAAAGAAGGCTAAGAGGAGGAAAGGGCGAAGTTTGGCGTTGGCTCGGCGGCAGTGGTCTCGGAATCCCCTCTTGCTTAATAGACGCTGGCCTGCCCGCCCGCCCCAGGGATGCCTACTCCGCTGTCCGCGGCCGGGCGGAAACAGCTGCTCTCGCCGTTGTCGCTGGGGCACGGGCGGCCCTGAAAGGGGCTGAGTGTGGGGGAGCTGAAAAGGCGTTCCGAGAGAGGGCGGCTGGCTGCAAAAGCTCTTCGCGGCCTCTGCTCAGGCCTCCCACGCCCAGCTTCCCTGACTGCTCGGCCTCTCGGCTCTTCTCTCTTTGACTCTTAATCCTTTGCCCCGTGGGTACCTTTCTCTGTTAGTCCTCGCATTCTCCACGAACGTTAGTTTGGCAGCTCACTTTGTCGCTCTTCCCGAAGCTGCCCATGGCCCATCAACATCATTTGCCGCCTAATATGCCATCTTCCCGAGATCTGAGTCACCAGCCCCCTTATACCTCCGGGATAGCTCGCCCTCAAAAAAAATTTTTTTTCCTACGGTGCCCCACCCTTGTGGTCGCGGTAAGGCTACAGCCCTTTGCCCTTCTTCCCTAGATCTTTAGTGGAATCTTAGTTTGGTAGGAGGCGTTTATTAACCCGTGTCATATCTACCTGACTTAGCAGTTCATGTTTTTCTGGCTTTCCAACTTAATATACTTCTTTTTTCCAAATCCAAGGAGTTTGATTTTTTTTTTCAGGCAAAGATGGCAACCACAACTGCAGTTTTGTAGAGATTGACTCTGCATTATCTATAGCCTGCATTTAATTTTACGGATGAAGACTTAGCTCTAATGAGAATATATAGGAAGAGAAGGTAGAACTGTTGTTTGGAGTGGCAGCTGAGTGCTTTTTAGAGTTTTAGCAACATCTTAAAGAGACCTACGTTTTTCTTAGAAAGATTTAGTGCATTTGTTTGTAGAAGAATGAGCAAGTCTTCCTATCCTCTCCACCCTGCGTTTTTTTTTCCTCATTTTTAGGCGAGAACAGTTTTTCTTCTCTTTTCTGCATCTTCCTCTTTTGCACACATATTTGCTTCACATTTACTTCTGTGCCTTTGTGTTACCTGTCCCCTTTCAACCTATTTTCCATGCGATATTCTTTTTACCTTTGCTTCTTCCTCTGGACTTTCCTGCAGAATAGAAAAATGTCTAACTTTCCTACTTGAAGGGATGTCACAAAAACGGTGCAGGGAAAAAACAATTTGAGGAAACATAGTTTACACTGGTCTCCCCAGAGACGTTAGAGAAGTTCCGTCATTTGAGCCCAAAAAAGGAACTGTGGAACAGTAGTTGGATAGTAGATGTATAAGACTAAGATTATTTGTATTAAGATTAAAACTATTTAAGACTAAAAATTATGGTTAAAATCCACAACACTTGTGATTATATTTGACAAGAAAATTATAGGGATAACTAATCAGCTGGTTAGATTCAGACTTCAAGGGTCTGAAAAAAGGCAGATTTCCGTTTTTAAGAGAAAAAGTGAGTACAGAACTGAGTCAGTACAGAACTTATGTTGATAATCTTGAATTTTACATGGCGACTTAAGCAATGGAAAAAAAAAAAGTACTTGCCAGTGAAATACTGCATTTTTCTGTGTCCCACGTATTACCTCTGACTGTCTTACCACCCTTTGTTCCTTTGTGTCTTCTGATTAGAGGAATGGAAAACTGATGCTTCCTATTTTAATTAAAACTAAATCTTTCCTTTTTGTATTTTTGAAATATCTGATACAGTTTTCTGGTAGAATCTTGAAAAATAATTTTAATGTAGATAAATCAAGCTTTTTGAAACACTACTTTCTTTGTGGTTATTCTGTCTTTGGTGAACAAAATTTTTTCCTGACCATCTTAATAGCAAAATTTTGTTTTAAAGATTTTTATTTTTTTAAAGTAATCTCTACAACCAATGTGGGGCTCGAACTCACAACTCCAAGATCAGGAGTTGCATGCTCTACCAACTGAGCCAGCCAGGTGCCCCTTAATAGCAAAATTGAACTCTTCAAAACAACTGAACTACATATAAAACTGCAACCAAATTACGAAATTTGTTTATTCACTCCTAAATTATTTTTCAAGGGCCCACTGCGTCTGGTACTGATCAGGGTGCTGGAGATAGAGCAGTGAACAAAAGGAGACAAGGATTTCTGCTCTCATGGATGTAATAGTCTAGTTGGGAGAGACAGATAAGAACCAAATACTTAAGTTAATTGCATATTATATTAGAAGGTGATAATGCTACGAAGAGAAAGCATGGAAGGGAGTTACGAGTTGTATATTTTGGGGATTTCAGTTAGCGTGCTTAGGAAAAAGTATACTATACATAAATGCTGCTCTGACCACGTCCTTACCTAAAATTTTTCAGATTTCTTTATCTTATGCCAGGATATTATTGCTGCTGAGAAGATTACTTAAGCTGTAAGAAGAACTATTTTAAAAACATACAGATTATAGAAATATAGGATTTGATTACTTGATAAAAAGGAAATAGTCTTCAGAATCAACATCAAGTAAGGGTAGACTTCGGCTTTTTCACTGGAGACTATTTTGAAGTTGAGGTTTTAACTCCTTTAATGTATTCCCAACCTTTTCTCATGTGGTACACATAGAAAATAATTTTTGAATCACACACTAAGGTGGATGAAGTAAAACATTGGGGATGAGTATTAGTATTCTGGCACATCTGTAATGCTGGGGATGCTCTACTCTGTAATACTGCTAAAGTTGTTCTTCAATATATAGTTCAAGGTTGTGGTTTTCAAACTTATTTGAGCCTTTGAGATTTTCTTTTTTTTTTCTTTTCTTTTTTACCCTACTGTTTCTTCCTAGAACGAAGTCGCAAATTACCAAGATAATGGTTAGATTATGTTTTAAGAAAGCATTCTTAGAGAATGGTGGGCTTCTGACAATACTTAAAAATGGCAGGAGTTAGAGTAAAGAAACATCTCCATTTAATTGTAATAGCTCTAGAGATGTTAAATAACTCTTGTAGATTTTCTGCTTTCTTTTTCCTCTCTTACCTAATGGGGGTCTTACACTATTAAGTGTTGATTTGACTAGATGGAAGGAGATTAAGACTTAGTAACAGATGGATTATGAATGCGTGCTTGTTTCCAGATGACTTTTAAATAATGTTATGTCGTGTTATTCACGACTCTGCACTGCTCTTTACTCAAGTGTCTGGCTGTAGCGATTGAGAGAGGTGGAATATGGGCTGTTACTGACATTTTAATACTCACATTGCCTTGACAGACTCCATGTGATTATGGTTTGATGATGCAAAGGGTTACACCATAATCAAAAATTAGAAAATTGACTCATCTTGGATCCTAAGGCTTATTGAATACTGGGAACTTGGGGAATGTATATGCCTAGAATTACAGTATCTGAGAAGGTTGACTGGGTACTCTGGCTAGGGATAGAGAGCTGTTGGGACAAGTCAAGGAAAGAGGTAACAGTATAGGATAGAATTGAAGGTATTTTGTTTGAATGATTAACCTGAACATAAGTGAAGTACACGTGAATAAAGGATAAAGCTAAGGTAATCATCTTAACTTTCAAAGCAGTCACTATGGTACTTTCTTTTAGCTGTTAATCAATTACTGCTAATGAGATGCCTTCTATTTTTATACTAAAGTGTTTGGGTGTTTCATTTAACTTTTCAGGTCTCTTCCACTCCTCTGGGCCATAGATCTCATGAGAATAGGAAAAATACCTTTTCTTTGTCCCTTAAAGTCACCTAGTGATTACAGTAAATGTTTAACACTTAACACTTCAAAAACTTTCTAATTAGCAAGTTCTGCATTAGTTTAATTCTATTTTAGAGAAATCTTTTAAGCAATTCCATAATAGTAAGATTGAGTCCCTATAAAGGAATAATTTAAAGTTCATATTTTTATATATATATTCCCCCCAAAATTGGCTTATTTTCTTGATTTATATGTTTGCCATAACCTTAACAGTTTTCAAAGTATTTTTCTGTTCTTTTTCTTTGGATTCTTATTCCAACCTTGTAAAATGGGAAGTCAGATAATCCTATTTCATTTCAATAGAGACAGTGACTTTAGGTAAGTTATCACTTATTTGGAAAGCGACTTACCCAAAATTACATAGCAACTGAGTGCTGAAACTGTGATTAGAAACCAAGCTCTGAAATGTGTTGGTGCTATGAAGTTGTATGTAATTAACACGTTAACAAGTTTGGCATTGTAGAGAAATCACTGGGATAATTACTTTTCAGTCAAGAAGTAAACATTTACTAGGGTAGTATTTCATAGCTGAGAGAAAAATATTCCTTATATTTTATAATAGTTATTTTATGCATACATTTTAAAAAGGGTCTTTATGCATGTACTTGTGCACTGAGTAAAATTATGGCAAATCTTTACTGTTCAGAGATAGTCTTTATTATCAAGGAGAGTTTTAAAAGTAGAGGTGATCTGGCATCTTTCTGAAAATATAGTTCTGCATAGTGTTTATTTGAATTGAACATTTGTTACATGTTATTTCTTTGTATCACTGCTGTCTACATTAATTTTATCTACAAAATACTCGTTTGTGTTTGTAGAGTGTTTTTAATAATTCTTCAGTTGATAGCCTTTTTTGTGAATGCAGGTTTTGGGTCACCAACAAATGGTGCATGCCTCTGAGTTATTTTATTCTGAGAAAAACTAATCTCATTCAGTAGGTCTTGTAAAAACTTCATTAGGAAAAAAAGCACAGGATCT